ACTGACTGTCGCTATCACATACTCGTGTATGTTCCAGTTATACTGACGCTATCACGTACTCGTGTATGGTCCAGTTATACTGACTGACGCTATCACATACTCGTGTATGTTCCAGTTATACTGACGCTATCACGTACTCGTGTATGGTCCAGTTATACTGACTGACGCTATCACATACTCGTGTATGTTCCAGTTATACTTGGAACATACACGAGTATGTGATAGCGTCAGTCAGTATAACTGGAACATACACGAGTATGTGATAGCGTCAGTATAACTGGAACATACACGAGTATGTGATAGCGTCAGTCAGTATAACTGGAACATACACGAGTATGTGATAGCGTCAGTCAGTATAACTGGAACATACACTAGTATGTGATAGCGTCAGTCAGTATAACTGGAACATACACGAGTATGTGATAGCGTCAGTATAACTGGAACATACACGAGTATGTGATAGCGTCAGCGTCAGTATAACTATCACATACTCGTGTATGTTCCAGGTATGTGATAGCGTCAGTATAATCGTGTATGTTCCAGTTATACTGACTGACGCTATCACATACTCGTGTATGTTCCAGTTATACTGACGCTATCACATACTTGTGTATGTTCCAGTTATACTGAGACTATCACATACTTGTGTATGTTCCAGTTATACTGAGGCTATCACATACTCGTGTATGTTCCAGTTATACTGAGACGTTATACTGACTGACGCTATCACATACTCGTGTATGTTCCAGTTATACTGACGCTATCACATACTCGTGTATGTTCCAGTTATACTGACGCTATCACATACTCGTGTATGTTCCAGTTATACTGACGCTATCACGTACTTGTGTATGTTCCAGTTATACTGACGCTATCACATACTCGTGTATGTTCCAGTTATACTGAGACTATCACATACTTGTGTATGTTCCAGTTATACTGACGCTATCACATACTCGTGTATGTTCCAGTTATACTGACTGACGCTATCACATACTCGTGTATGTTCCAGTTATACTGACTGACGCTATCACATACTCGTGTATGTTCCAGTTATACTGAGACTATCACATACTTGTGTATGTTCCAGTTATACTGACGACACGAGTATGTGATAGCACAAACTTACTTGAACTGTTTCGGTGTGAACTAGACAGATTAAGTTGTCGAACTGTAAGTTTATTAAATTTGTTTAAGTCATTACACATCAGTATTGGGCTCGTGATTTTTATGAACATCAAATTATTTACTTATTATAGTATTAAGTTGTTTTATTGTTAATATTATTTATTTTATTTGAGTTAACTTTACTCATCACTCAGAAGAAATGACAAACTAGCAAGTTAGTCTTTTTT